GAAACTCTTTGGTCATTTTTGAGCGAGATGCTAACGGTCTAATCAGATTCAATGATCTATGCTAAGCTACAGCTAAAAGTGCTACCGCCAGACCCGGAGATCGGCTGAACGGATTTGAAAACGGTAAAACTCAACTGTTTAACTCTAGGGGAGTTGGAAAATGAGCCTATTTTCAAAAATAGTGGAGTGTTCCTTTAAGAATGTCATCAGTATGACATGACAGGATGTGCTTTGTGCTGTTTCTTTCAGTGCGCCTCCTGCGTGAGGAGCTTCAGTTGCTGCAGGAGCAGGGGTCTTATGTAGGAGAGGTGGTGAGAGCCATGGACAAGAAGAAAGTGCTGGTCAAGGTTTGACAGACATTATTTACTGCTTAATTACATGAGCATGATTTGTGTTGACGTGTTGCAATGCAGTTTTGTTAATCATTTATATTTATGCTATGTTTTTAGGTGCATCCTGAAGGAAAGTTTGTGGTGGATGTGGATAAGAACATTGATATAAATGATGTAAGTGTTTTGTTCTGGGTTTTTACTAAGGCTGGTTAAACTGATGATCATGATAATTTTTTTATTACGGTCAAAAAGTATAATTGCAATTATTAATTACGATTATTCTGATTTGAGAAATTTCTTATTACGTTTCTTCACAATTATTGCACTTTTACGTAAGCACAAATTACGAGAATGTCAGTTCGTACACAGGGTTTATTTTACCTCATCTATTTTTTTTGTGTGTTCTTTTTAATCATATACATTAACACAATGTCTACATTATAAAAACTGGAAAAACTGTTTCTCAAACTGGAAATTTCTCTCAAAATATAAAACCATAAAATTCCTATTAATAATTTAATAATAACAAATTATGTTAGCATTTTTCTCTTAAAATAAACAAAAAGACTTTGTATTGTGGTACATTGAGGTTGCATAAGCATTTATTCAGCAACCACAATAGGGTTGGGCCGATAGATGATGGCTGATAGACATCACGAAGTTGAGCCGGCATCGTGATACCCCTCCCCCGCATCCCAATACCATGTTCGGAAAGAAAATGACGTGTAGGCGGAACCCCTAAAGGGAATAAATACGAGATGGGAGGAAAATATATATTTAAATATTTTTCCTGGTAATTGGATAATTGGATAATTATACTACATATATATTTCGAGATTCGTGATCGCACGTACTCTGTTTATATTATGGAGCGGGCCACACTTTTGTTTATATTATGGAGCGGCAGTACTTGCCACACTTTTTATATGTTTGTCAGTGGTACTGAGGATCTGCAGATCATTCGCCATCGTCCTCAGTCATCTCTCTTTACTCTGTTTATGTGGTAAGTTAAATTTTATGTACTGTAATGTAACAGGCAACCGTTACACCGTGTCTACACCGGACGTGACAGTTGTCGTGTCGCGCCACATCAGCTAAAGTCTGTCTACACTGGACAAAGCGACCGTTGAAAATCATTTGAAATTTGTGTCAGCACGTCATAAATAGAACACGGCAGCAGTTTACTGTTGAGGATTTGTCGTGTCGCTCCGCATCCAGTGTAGACAGCATCATAATATATAATGAGTTCTATAGACTGATCTACTGTCTATTATAGATCAGTGGTTCTATAGTATTTAAAAGGCTCCCCTCTTCGGGCCCCCCCCCCCCCCCGCTCGCCCCCGCCGATGTCATCGTCCATCGCGATGTTTCACTGTAGACATCGTCTGTTGCCAATTTTGTAGACATCGCTCAACCCTAAACCACAATTGCAAACAATATAGTTGAGATTCATGAAAAACAATATAATTGAGATTCATATTTGTATTAATTACAGTTCATCACTCAGAAGGTTTGCTCGCAGATTTAGTCACAGCAAATAGCGCGTGTGTGTATATAAATATATATATATATA